CACAAGTACTAACTTGGAGAAAACATCCTGGGGCGCCGACTGCTTGCCCTCCTTACGTTTCGTTGAGTACGACTATGGTGGCGGTGGGTAGGCCTGTTTACGTTTACGGGATTTGGCAATACTGACAGATTTTTTTCAGAATGCACTTTCATTTGTACTGTAAGTCGCATTGTTGTTATTCATGTATTATTTCTTTGTTCTTATGTGCACACATGTGTACATATATAAAATGCATGCGCCACATACATCAAGTCTCTACCTTCCACTTCGCACGTCCACTTAAACTTCCCATTCCACTGTTATCTGTTTACGTTAATCATGTTTAGCTTACTTTGTTTCTGAATCAAGGAACGCCGCTCTCTGCACCGCGGCGGAGTCTCTTCTCCCCGTCAGGCATTCAACATGGTTCTTTCTGCTCACAACTGTCTCTCGCCTCTTCATGATCGGTACTCGAATTGTCCTTCCTAATCCGATCTCTCGTCTCTCTCTCCACTGCATCTTCTCTCTCTCATCTCACTCTCACTCTCACTCTCACTCTCACTCTCACTCGTCACTCTCACTCCCTCACTCTCACTCTCCCTTCTTCCCTTCCTCCCTCCCTCGCCTTCCCTCCTTCCAGGTCGTCCCACCTCGGGACTCCATCACGGATCTCCCTCTCTCCTCACTCTTCATTCTTGTCTCATTTCCTCTCTCTCTGCTCTCTCTTCCTTCTATTCGCTTTGCTATCAATCTCTATTCACTCCTGTAACTATTTCATCTCTTCAAACTTCTATTCTAGCAATATACTTGCTCTCCATATCTTCCTTATTATCTCTATTATATAAATACTCATTATAATACTAATCAACTAAAGTATCTAACATCATACAACTATTATCAATTATAACACTCTCTATATACTGTAACCTTATATAACCTATAATAGATGTAATACCCTAATATAATATCTATCAAGTATCTCTGTGCTGATTATCCCCTTTGATGACTATTTTTCAACCATCTTATGGATAGCATGAACCTACAATAATACAAAAGACAAAGCATCTATATTTGAGAGATGATAGATTCACCAAAGGTTTTACATAAGAATAACTGGCGGACAACACTGCAGTACACAAACAATGAAAGTACTACTCACTCAGTCATCTCGCACCATCTTCCAATTCCGAGTACCCTAAGGATGGAGTCTTCTAACGCACAATTTCTCTGTTATTGTATTGGTGCAAAACAATTTAGCGTCCGTTAGACACTCGGCAGCAGCAAATATATGGCGCATAAAGGT